AATATTGGCCTATTGGATAAAATATTAAACTGCAGTTTAAATATGGAAATCAACATAGGGTTGAATTTTAAATCGTTTCACTACTTTGGTTTCAGAGGATATTTTGTCCTGCACTTCTAGAAAACTTGACGATTTAAACCAGCACTATGTAACTTTTGGCGCTCTAGCGGTTAATAAACAGAACTGCACACATCCCGCGGAAGAACATTCGCTGGGGCTTTGTTGTCTCCTCTGCCTCTGACATTCAGATGCCTTTTGGAGAGAAAATCACACTTGGATCATGACAAGACCCAGCAGCAGCTGTACTCTTGTCTTGTCTGGTCCCAGAGATCACAACACAGCAGTCAGTAATTGCATGGGTTTTCCTGAATTAGCCAGTAATCATTCTCAAATGCCAAAGAACATGAGCTTGTAAGATTACTAAAAGAGTGCAAATTACAGTAATAAGCAACAAGATGCTGATGATTTTTACCACGTGGGTCATTACTCTTCGGTAAATGTTCATGTCCCTCTCATAATATTGGCCTATTGGATAAAATATTAAACTGCAGTTTAAATATGGAAATCAACATAGGGTTGAATTTTAAATCATTTCACTACTTTGGTTTCAGAGGATATTTTGTCCTGCACTTCTAGAAAACTTGACGATTTAAACCAGTACTATGTAACTTTTGGCGCTCTAGCGGTTAATAAACAGAACTGCACACATCCCGCGGAAGAACATTCCAACCGGAGCTACTTCTCTAAGTTTATGTCTCTGGCGATTCACGCAGGTATGTGTTACTCCGCAGCGGTGACGACCCGACCAGGCTACAATAGTCCAAATATAAGTACTTATTATAAGTGTACCGTAGTGATTCGGAATAAGACAAAAACGCGGCTTGGAAGATTAATTCATGATATACTCGCTCATTATATACATTTTGCAAATTTTGAACACAGAAAAAGTTACATAGTGCTGCTTTAATGGTGAAAAATATTCCAGGTCTTTCTCATTTTTTTTTTTTTTTATATTTATTTGATTGGTAATCAATCATGTGTCTTCAGTGTCAATTATATTTCTCTTTTGTAATATCCCTTTAATCAAACCCAGGTCCTTAATGACATCAGATTCCAGGAAGTGATAATCTTGTCATACTGGCCTCTTATGATGCTGGGCACTTATTGTTACACAACTCTTTCTGTGCACAAGGAATGCTCGGACTGACGTGCAGGTTGTACTGCATAGCTTACATTGTTTCAAAGGTTTAAGAACATCTGGTGCAACTGGTGTCCTGTGGATACAGAATAATGTTTAACAGATGGTATTATGCTTTATTTTTTACGACATTGAATGACAGTATGAGAAAAAGTATATGCGTTTAATAAGTAACACAAACAGAAGAGCAAACTGCATGTCCTTTTTCTTGTGTAAGTACAGGCACTTCATCAGTTCACATTGTGTCCATCTCTGGAAGAGGCCAGGCTGGCTGGCAAACATTGCTATATTTTACAGGCTCGGCCCCTTCAGGAAGTGGATGCTTTGTGGCCGTTCACAAAGAGCTTTTAGAGGAGGGCAGCATTAATCAGTTTGTTGCCACAGCAATAAGAAAAGGTGAAGGGGCACACAGTTATCTTGTCTGTTAAATAAGGAAATGTCATTGAAGGATGACTGGAAGTGGTGCTTCAGCACTGTCTGTGTCAGCGTGAATCAGTTCTTGTTTGCTTAGCATGTTTGTTCTGTTTCTTGTATTCCAGTGTATTTTGCTTTATCTGTACTAAAATGTTTTGTCTGCATTTGGATCTAATCCCCCTCCATCTCTGAGTACACCCTCGTCCTATTAAAAGAGCCATTTGTATGGGAATTGGCGCCCTAGGCGACCGCCTAGCTCGCCTATGCCTAGAAACGGCCCTGGGAATCGGACTACACTTACTGAATGTTTAGCACTTTATAGATTCAGTATTGTGATGCAGAGCTGCAAAATAGTATAGTGCGGGAAAAACTGTTGGAATATTTTAGTACAATGATCTATCCTCATTGGCGGAAGAATATAACTGTAATGAAACCAAACCTTGTGAAAATTATTTTACCAACTAAATTATATCTCAGTATTTTCCCAAGACTATCTCACACTGTCAGGCACTGAGAAATATGTTGGATTGGGTCAAACATGAGCCCATGCACAGTTCCACTTCTATCTAGATTCCTTTCCCCACAATAATAACTTGTAAGCTCCCCCTGAGCCAACAAACTGGGACAGAATATATATAAAAAAGCTCTGAAGTATGGGTACAAAGCATCTAACAGAGTGGAGTAATGAATGTGCAAAGGTTTGTAGAAAGAATAAGGGCCTTTGACTATTGAAAACGACATGTGAAGCCAACCTGGGGACTATGTTACTAGTTGTAACCAGGGTTACCGATACTGAAGTTGTTCGTTTGTACATTCCCTTTTCTACTATTTTCCATGGATGAGGATGAGGACACAAAAGAATGGGATTTTATAAGGGTTCAGATGATTACAGTCACTTTGAACCCAGGCAATACCCCATGGAGTGAATTGACACAGATGCAGAAATGTGTGGCTTGATTGTGTTTGGCTTGATCTCTATACACTTCCATTTAAAAAAAACAAGTCTGCCACACAAGGCTATCAAACTGCAAAGAAAGTTGTTTTTTTTACATTGGCAGCATTCCATGAACTTACCCAACTTGTAGAGTATCTAAAAAAATGTCCATATATCATAAACTGAGCTATGAATGCCAAAGAAAACCTGCTATTAAGTATTTTAGTATTATATTACGTGTTATAACTGTTGGTGCGTGAGTAGATAAATATTGTATTAATTTTTCATTTATTTATTTTGATTATTATTTTGTCCACTTATGACAAAATAATAAGGAAGAAACTTTTGTTTTCTCTGGTTCATTTGTGTGAAACTTTGCCTGAAAAGTGTTTCATTCTGTTAATTCTATTAATGCTGTTAGTTCTATTTAACAGAGTCGCACATACCTTTTCTGGACACTGTGCTGATTTGTAAGAGTCCAGGATTGGTGGCAGTGAGCTGACATGATAAACATCTTCAGTTTTCATAATCAGCCCAGTGAGCTATGAAGAGGACAACACGGAAATGAACTTTTTGTTTGTTTGTTCATTTGCTTGTTTAACATTAAGATTTGAGTTTAAAATATGTAGGCCTATTAATTGATGTGCTGTAAGTTTGCTTAAGTTTTCACCATATTAATTACCTTTTTTCCAGTTGACTTAAATGTGTCAGGATAAATAACTCTTAACTGATAAGTGATAAACATCTTCAGTTTTCATAATCAGCCCAGTGAGCTATGAAGAGGACAACACGGAAATGAACTTTTTGTTTGTTTGTTCATTTGCTTGTTTAACATTAAGATTTGAGTTTAAAATATGTAGGCCTATTAATTGATGTGCTGTAAGTTTGCTTAAGTTTTCACCATATTAATGACCTTTTTTCCAGTTGACTTAAATGTGTCAGGATAAATAACTCTTAACTGATAAGTTAAAATTCATATATTATAAAAAACAGTAATTTTGAATGAAGTCAACAAGCTAAATTCATCATTTTGATGTTATTTTGTTATTACTCATGAACACACATTTCTCAAATATATCAGCATTGTTATTCCCGTAAACATATACAAATTTTAATCCAGAAAAAATAGACTTACCAGTTCTCGAAGTTTTCAATATTAGGTAGGCCTACTAATCTACTGTAACTAGGCTGGATCTCCCCACAAACAAACAGCTTTTCTAACAGCTAACTAAACACAATAGTGTGTTAATGGCTGTACATACATTTGATATATCCTACTCAATTGCCTAAACCTCAAGAATTAGCCGTTTTCTGAACGACTTTAAGTATTGTTCGTTGTAGCGTTAAACTCAGCTACTCCACAGAAAGAGCTCAAAGCGAATAGTGTGATGAGTTTCAGGTCTGATCTGTGTTTAAGGAGTCGTTGCCATGGTGCGAGCTTCACAACCTCAGTCCTTTTGATAGCATGTAGCCCATTCATTTCACTTTGTTCATTGTAGGCAAGTCGTGCGCTCAAGTTTTACCCACTTAATATATATATATAGATGTAAAGAACTTACACGCAGAATTAGGAATGTTAAATCAAATAATACAATCAATTCAGAAGATTCTGTACCGCAGAACCAATATAACCATTCACACAAGGCCTAGACTACACTGTAAAAAAAAATCCGTAAAATTTACGGTAAAAAAACGGCAGCTGTGGTTGCCGGAATTTTACCGTAAAAAATACGGTAGCAACGTTTTAAGGGTTTACGGTTTTAACTTAAATTTACAGTTAAATACCGTAATTTCATTAACTGATATAATGTTAATATACCAACCTATTGAAGTACTAAAATCTGTTTTGTACCTTTGTAATACACTGATAAACACCAAATGCAGGTGATGATGAGAAAGTCACGTGATGAACCAAAGCCCATCACAAGCAGCTTTTAAATAATAACATATAAAGAAGGTGCACAGTGTCATTCACACAAACACCAAACACCATCATGGTAACACACATGAAACTGAAATAATGCAATAAACATTAATTTAACAACATTAGGTGTAACACACAACCCTAATATACAAAACTGATAAGAAAAAACTAAGAAGAAACATAGTTATTTCAACAAAAAAAACATCAAATTTGAAATGTAACACAGGGAATTCTGGGAATGTCAATTTACAGTTATTCACTGTAAATTATACGGTCTTTTTCACTTCCAAAAACGGTATACTACCGTAAAATTAATGTCCAGTACATGTAGTGTCCAATACAGTTTTTCACCGTATATAGTAGGGGAATTTACCGTTAACTATTTAAGAGGTTTTTACTGTAGCATTTTTACCGTTAAATTCACTGTCATTTTTTACAGTGTACAGCATATAGCCTATATTTGCATGCCATTTTAAAACAGCTGGTTGCTCACAAATGATCATTCAAATAATAAGGGAAAAAAAACACGTCTTTTCGATTTTATTATCAGAACCCTTAAAAATGACTTGGAACAACACACAGCATATAAAAACACCTCCACATTGCAAAATAAATACTGTACACGGCTGGTTCGTCGATCAAACAGCCCTCGAGTCCATAATACACACAAACTTTGAACAAGTCTCAGATATTAAGTGTCTATTCTAAGGCTTTCAGACAGTTTGTTTTCAGCAGTAATTTTTTCTGGCACAAAGGAAGGACCATGGCCTCTGGATGCATTTCACCGGTCGACGTTCGCACCCTGTCCCTGTTAATTCTCCGTATTACTTTCACAGATTGAAACAAGCGTCTGTCATTCAGCCCAGCAAAGTGAAAACAATAGTAATGTGCAAAAACACTACTGCTTCTCAGTCAATGCGTAAAGGTGACCTGCAAAAATTCTCTGAGTGATCAGCAATAGACCTACTTTTCAATGCAGAAAAAAAAAACATTCCAGTCAGTCCATTATGAAAGCTGAATGTGTATGTGTGTGTACGCAAAGGACGGGTTCTTGCGTTCAGTCTAAGATGTTTATTTATATGCGCCGCGTCATATGGACATTTTTTGGCCAGCGCATCGCATCTTGCGCCATCAACTTTAAATGGCGTGTATTCAATTTATAAAACGCCTCTGCCTTCTCTTCCATTCTAATAACTCGGCGGAGCGTTCACACATATACGCCTTCTTTCATTAAACCTTATCAGTTTTGGTCTAATTGTTGGTGTATGTAAACATTGCGACGCATTTGAGTTTTTTTTTTTCAGTGCCTTGTGTGTAGTGCCAAGATTTTAAGTCGCACAGTCACGTTCAAAATAGTTCATTGCTGCGCTTTTCAGGTGATTGCGAACACAAGAGCGCGCCCCGTGTGCGAGACGCATGTAAACACAGGACATGTTCTTTTCGTTTGCGCAAATTTTTTTTTTAAACTGTTGCTCTATGTACACTTGCCTTGCGTTTTAAGACGGTGTGTCCAGTTAAACATAGTTTAACTTTTACAAAGGCATCACTATATTCTATACGTTGCGCTCCGTACAGCTGTTTTTTCAACGCAAGAACGCGTTCCGTCTGAATGAGCCTTTAGACAACATAATTTATAAAAGCATATTATGTGAATTTTGTGTCTGACTCATGAACTGAAGTCTTCACAGTGGACCTTTTCTTTGCGGAACGAAGTAGTTCAGGTTATCAACATTTAAGATGAGGCAAAGATGACAGTTTCTCGACTTTCCCAAAAGCAGCAGCACTCTCCACACCTTTGAGCCACTCTTTACATTTTCGCACGACAGTCTCGTCCACGTCTCCATCCTCCTCCTCGTACTCCACATCATCATATTTGTACTGATCGTTGAGGAGGGAGATCTTCACAATGGTGCTAATGTCATTGGAACCGTCCAGTTTGGCAACAGGTCCGGAGCTCTTATTACTGGAGCTGCCCTGAGCTCTCTTGGATGGGAAAACCCGCCGGTGTCGCAAGTCCGCGGAAGCGCAGCACTTCTGCTGCTTGGCCATCATCTGCTTTTCCAGATTGCGCTTCTGGATGACCAGGATGGCTTCGGGGGTCAGGCTGAGGGAGAAGTGGATCTCTTGCTCGCCTACTTCTTTTGCTAGAGAGTTCCTGGAGGCGTATTTATGGCTGGACTCTCCAGAACTAGACCGGGGGACGCTTTCGCATGAGGTAGCCAAGGGTTTGGGGACGCTCAACCACGAATGTTTGCTGTCCGTCTCGGGATCTGGAGGGACTCTGGACGGCTTGCTTCGTCCCTGCTGCTTTAAATTGGCCGATGGCCACGATGGGGATAGTTTATCTTTCTCCGATTCCTTGTCGTCTCCTGTCCTTTGACTGAACGTGGGTTGAGGAGGCGCGACATTGTCCCTGCTCTTCTTTTTCCTGAACAGCTCCTTTCTAGGCGATGATATCCGTGAGTGCAGGTTTATCGGCGGAAAAGGCATTTTAAACGCTATCGGTGCGCAAAATAACGAAGAAATCTGTGCGTAAATGATGGGAGAAATAGGTCCATTCGCCTCGGTCCACCGGATCTTTGGGTATTAGACGCAGTAGTCCATTTTGCTCCGCATTTCAATTCTAGACTGACAAGAGGCGGGGCATATGCGGGCTTTATGTGGTGTCGCGCAGAAGGGGCGTGGTCACAGCATAAAAGTAAAAACAACAAAGCCATGCTCACACAAGTGCGATACAAAATAACACAGCCAAGTTCACACTGTTCTAGCTGCGTAACCACTTGTGTAGTTCATCACCAATAACCATGAATATGTCACAACATCCTTTTTGTCCTTTTGTTTTTAACTCTATGTCTATTGCTTTATTTAAACCAAACAAAACATCTGCTTGAAAATGTGCTTGTGCTTAAAAAAAAACGCGTCAGTTTAATATTGTTGTCCATCCAATGTAATGACATCCATACCATTTCCTTTTCTAAAAAAAAAATAATAAAAAATTCTAGGTTACAATGAGGCACGCACAACAGAAGAAGTGAATGGGGCCAATCCGTTAACATTACAATTATTTTAACACGACTTTAGTCTAATAAATAAATAAATAAATAAAAATCACTAGCATTTATAAACCTTTTCATTTAATAGTTATATCCAATTTTATTTTTGGCCTGAGAAATGAACGGCCAATTAAATTCTACTTAAATTGGAACTTACATTTAATTCTAATTCTATTGTTTTTTGGTAGTCAGAATTACGCCACGAAAGCTGTTATATTGAATATTGAATCATTTAAACTTAAGTGTCCGAATAGTTTTGGGGGCACTGATTATTTACACATTACCATTTTTCTTTAAGAAATTAGAACAGAATAACAGATTTGAAATAGCGATGTATCGGAATGCCGCTATTACGCAAATGCAACCGACGGCACTTTTTTGCTGACTGTCAATATTTTCTCCTTGGTGACCTTGGCAGAACACAGAGGAGGCTAAAGACAAGCGGCCTCCATCGTTATCGATCTGTCGCCCTCCTTTCCAGCAATTCGTAATTTCACAGTGACAGCTGTTCTGTCACCCAGCCAAAGTGAAGTGTTCCAGCAGCCCCAGTCAAACGAGGGGAAAAATCAATAGGCTTATCCTTACTGTTAAGCAGCACACAAAGAGAGGCTCATTCTCGCAAACAACGTCCATAGATTGCCTTCAGAATGAAATCACAGAGATTACAGGCACAACTCTTTCTCAATCTCAATCATTACTTCAAAACGATACAAGATGAAAACTGATGGCTTGCAACCCGATGTGCTGCCACATGTGAAATGCTCTGAGAGCTGATATCATATGTGGGACTAGACATCTGTACATCAGATATACAGCCTATATATATTCTTAATATAAAGCATTGTGTTTTTTGGAGTGTAAAATCTAAAGCATCTTCTCAGCCATAAGCTGGAGGGTTCACCAGCAGCTATACCCACAATCTCACCACGGTAATTACGGACACGTGATCAGCATTGTGCATAGAAGTATGCTGTGGAGGAGGGATGCTCAAGAAAACAGAGCACTCCCACAGTTGTCATGGAAACCGCATCTGTGGAAACCACTGTTTCCTTGCTTAAGCAGTCTAAAAACAGACCAGCCACTCTAGGTTATTAGGTCATGTGAAGAACACGTGACGCTCGAGGGTGAGGAGCAAACCTATATCTGAGCATGCAAGAGACAATGGTATAGGTGTATTAAACAAAAACGGATTGCTTCGTAGATTAATCACACAAAAAGACAGAGTTAGATGCCATCAGCTGATCTCCTGAGACTCAGTGTGTGGTGAGACAGCTGTCTGAGTTGCCCTGGGCTCAGACAACCAACATTATACACATCATTATTCTGAACACATCAGGCTGAAGATTATAACATGACACATTAAATACTTGTGGAACAAACAAATAAAAATCACAAAATGAATGAACAAAGCTTGAGTACTGCATTTATTTATTTGGTGCATGGTATCATATAAAAAGGTTTTTCTCTCATTTTTTGTTAATATATTTGGTAGAAATGAATTTTTTTCTGTACAAAAGTGAACAGTATAGTAATTGAGTTCATTCAGAAACATCACATGTTATAACAAGGCACTTGTTTTCACGGTTTTAACTGGCAGTATATCATCTATTAAGCATTTATCCGCCACACACAAAAACAAACAAAAAATAACATCCCCCTCCAGGAAGTGACATTTTAGTAAAAAAAAAAAAAAAAAACAGTAAGGCTTGTAATAAATGCAAATATTACATATTCACTCTTAATATTACACAATGCGCTTTTAAAATTATTATATTAAGACAAAAGAGTAAATGTGATTTTAAGGTCACGGAGAACAGACTGGTTTGGAGATGAAAGAGAAAAACAATCCTTTTTTTGACATTTACAATGCAGGACTGGTCGTCAGATGAATTACTGGATGCTTTAGCTCAAACAGGAGGTGAAACACTTCATAACAGCATCCCTGTGAAAACAAATAGACATTTATGTTTACAGCTGGCAGCTCAATAAAGAGTATTACATATGGATGGGGGGCTCACAGCAAAATCCAGAGAAACAGATGGATAATGAAAATACTGATGATGAAAACCATACTTAATCCCAAATAAACCAATAGCTCCATGTTAATGCGCTTTATTACCTTAAAGGGGTCATATGATGCTTTTTAAAAGATCATTATTTTGTGTATTTGGTGTAACAGAATATGTTGACATGCTTTAATGTTCAAAAAACACATTATTTTTCAAATACTGTACATTATTGTAAGTCCTCTATGCCCCGCCTCTTAGTCTTTGCAACTTCAGGGATCTTATCTATGCACAATCAGCTTGTAACCCCCCAAAGAGAAAGGAAAACTTGAAATCGCATCATATGACCCCTTTAACATTCAACTTAATTCTTTGTTCTGAGGAAAAAAAAAAAAATAAAAATAAAAAATGGGCTTGTTTTGAAAGATTTTTTCTTTCCTGTAGTTGGGCAGAGCTCTTGCATATTTCATTTTGTTTTGGCGGGTAACCATTGTATGACCGACCCCCCTAGAATCTGATGACTGTAATGCAACTTTTTGGGCCAGCAGTTTCCCTAAATACCATCTGGTAACACTTTACAATAAGGCTCCATTTGTTAAAGGGTTAGTTCACCCAAAAATGAAAATTAGCCAATAAATTACTCACCCTCAAGTCATCCTAGGTGTATATGACTTTCTTCTTTCAGACGAATCCAGTCGGAGTTATATTAAAAATTGTCTTTGATCTTTCAAACTGTTTCATGGCACTCAGCGGGTGTTGCATGCATCAGTCCGAAAGAAGTTAAATAAAAAGAGCCCATCCATTTAAAAAAAGTGTCTCACACGGCTCCGGGGGGTGAACAAAGGCCTTCTGTAGTGAATCGATGCGTTTTTGTAAGAAAAATATCCATATTCAAAACGTTATAATCACTTTAATGTAGCTTGCGCCAACAGTTGTACACAGAAGCAGTTCCGGGAGCATGACGTATGAGTTCAGCGTTGCGCCAGTGAGTCTCGTGAAAACCAACGTTTGTTTACAGGATCAAAGGAAGCAAAGTTATCTTACTTTAGCAAAAAAAAAACAGTCTCCTCTTGGCTTATATCGAAATCCTCCGACATTCTTCTTTACAAATCCTTGTTTTGTACTTCTAATTAGTGACCGCTGTTTTGTTTTGATCTCTCCGCTGCGCTTCCGCGTTCGTCACTTCTGAGCGGCGCATGCGCAACGCCGACCTCATACGTCATCCGCCCGGAACGGCTTCTGTTTACAACAGTGAGCGCAAGCTACATTTACGTTTTGAATATGGATATTTTTCTTACAAAAACGCATCGATTCGCTACAGAAGGCCTTTGTTCACCCCCCGGAGCCGTGTGAGACACTTTTTTTAAATGGATGGGCGCTTTTTATTTAACTTCTTTTGGACTGATGCATGCAACACCCGCTGAGTACCATTAAACAGCTTGAAAGATCAAAGACAATTTTTAATATAACTCCGACTGGATTCGTCTGAAAGAAGAAAGTCATATCATCTAGGATGTCTTGAGGGTGAATAATTTATGGGCTAATTTTCATTTTTGGGTGAACTAACCCTTTAATATTAGTTAATTGCATTAGTTAACATGAACTAACAATGAAAAAATTGTTCTAAAGCATTTATTTTAGCATTCATTAATCTAAATGTTAATTTCAACATTTATAAAAGTTGTATCTGTTAATATTATTTAATGGATCTGAGTTAACCAACTAACAATAAATGTTAGTTGTTTTATGATTAATAAATACTGTAACAAATGTGTTGCTCATTGTTAGTTAATGCAAGTTAAAGCTAATGTAAAGTGTTACAGATCATTTTATTAGACTGGCTTTGTCATGTTTTTAGACCTGTTTTACAATTCTTTGATGTTTTGTGTATCAGATTTAAATTTCCGTTACAAGAACAGCATTAGACTTGACAAGTAATTTACGTAAAACAATTCAATTTTATTCACATCATTCATATATATATATATATATATCTTTATTTATTTTATTTTTTTTTATTGGTTGAAAATTATGGTCCTGTCTTATTAGGAAAAAAAGAGCAAATACATAATAAATATTGAGATTAGATTATTATAAATTATTAAAAATATTTTTAGCAATGTCGCCCAGTCCTGATATGAAACTAAAAGATGAGGTAACCATCACGGTCTCCAAGGCAACAGCAGAACAAGGTCACGGTACCTTCCTCGCCTCAGCCTCCACCCTTTTTCCTCTCTCCTCCGCCTCTGCCTCTGTCACCCTCTCTAAATGTGTTGCTATGCAGACTTTGTCATGCTCAAAATTCACAGGAAGTGGAGGAGGCGTTAAAGCAGTCAAGGTTAAAAGAAAGAGTAGAGAATCAGAGAGAGAAAAGAACGACAGAATAAGGAGGGAGACTGACGAATGTCTGCAGATCTGTTACTCATCCCTCCTGCATTACACGCACCAACACAGCAGCGCGATCAGGAGACTGTTTAGTGTTTAGCCTTAAAAGCACTGCACATACAGCACATAAATAAATGATGATTAACTCCCCCTGCATTCTGATGAAATATCGGAGCAACGGAA